GTTCTTTTCCCTATCTAGTAGCTTTCGGCTAGCATAAGCTATAGGCATCTTTGTTCCATTATGTTCCTGAAGCAAGACCGCCCCAATGCCATTCTCAGAAGCATCACACCGTAAGAAAAATGTCTTCGAATAGTCAGGAAGACACAGGATTGGTTTGTCTAAGAGCTTGGATTTTAACTCAAGAAAGCTAGAAACTTGTTCATTATTCCAATTCAGTTTATTACTTGAATTATTCTTCAGTAGCTCATTCATGGGAGCACAAATGTTAGCAAACTTTGGTATGAATTTTCTATAGTATGAAATTGTTCCAATGAAAGAACTTAGCTCTTTTTTGGTGTCTGGCAAAGGCATTAACTCAATTGCTTTAATACGGCCTTCAGGTGGTTTAATAACATTCTCTCCGAGAACAACTCCAAGATAATTTATTTTATTGTACCCAAAGAAGCACTTACTTATACCAGCCGTTAAGCCATGCAACCGTAATTTATTCAGCAAACACCTCAGATCCTGCAAATGATCAAACCAATTAGAATTATGAATTACAATGTTGTCAAAGTAACAATCTGTATTCTTCAAACCAAAAATTACTTTTCTCATCAGTCTAACAAATGTTGCACAAGCTGTTTTGAGTCCAAATGGCATCATTACAAATTGCATGAGTCCTCTGTTGGTGGAAAAAGCAGTATATTTCTTAGGTTCCAAAGATAGAGGAATTTGCCAGTAGCCTAATTTAAGATCTATCTCGGTAAAATATTTATCATTAACAAAATTACCCAAAGATTCTTCAGTTGTGGGCATGGGTTCACAATCAAAAACTGTAATATCATTCAAGTTCCTGAAGTCGATACAGAACCTGTAAGTTTGATCGCGCTTTCTTACGAGAACGACCGGGGAACAATATGGTGAAACAGATGGCTCTATTATGCCTAAATCAAGCATCTTGTCAACTTCCTTGTTGAAAACATCAATCAGATTATAGGGTATAGGATACGGTTTCTTACAAACAGGGTTAGTGGTCTCAAGCTTGATTACGCGTTCTATAGACTTAGTATGACCTGGCTTGTCGGTGAAAACATCAGGAAATTCAGAAATAAGAACATTTACATCATCTTTCTGTTGAACACTCAGATCACGTCCTACATTTAAAGATTCACTATTTGTTAATTCGAGATACATAGTTTCATTTACATTATCACAATCATTTTCATCCACAATGCATACATTAACAATTTTGTTGTTCTCAGGTGCAGTTTCATCGCGACGGAAGTATCGTTTCAACATATTTATGTGAAAAAGCTTATTCTTTCCACGCACTTTGATGGTATAATCTACTCCATTATCTTTCACGCCTATGACTGGATAAGGCCCTTTCCATTGCATAATCATCTTATTGTGATCAGTGGGCAAGAGTACAAGCACTTCATCATTCACCTTTAACTTGCGATTTCTAGATTTAAGGTCATAATAGCTTTTGTAAGTCTTGCTGCTTATCTGGGCTTGGGAAACGGCCAATTTTGCGGTTTCCTCTAATCTGGATCTTAATTCGGTTACGTATTGATAAGTAGACTTAACTTCATTATCGATCTCGTCATTAGACCAAAGTTCGTGCAAAATAGTAAGTGGACCTCTGACTGGTCTTCCATAAAAGAGTTCAAATGGAGAAAACTTCAGCGAATCATTCGGAATTTCCCTGTAAGCGAAAAGAACGGCGGGAAGATACCTATCCCAATCTCGCGGATGGTCAGCGCACAGCTTTTTAATCATTGCTTTCAAGACTCCATTCAGACGTTCAACCGCGCCATTGCAACTCGCATGATACGGGGTTGTGTACAGAGCAATCTGACAGCATATATATATATATATATATATATATATATATATATATATATATATATATATATATATATATAAACATGTATATATGTATATATATGTATATATATATATATATATATATATATATATATATATATATATATATATATATGTATATATATATATATATATATATATATATATATATGTGTGTGTGTGTGTGTGTGTGTGTGTGTGTGTGTGTGTGTGTGTGTGTGTGTGTGTGTGTGTGTGTGTATGTGTATGTGTGTCTCTGTGTGTGTGTGGAGGGGGGGTATGTATATATGTATGTATGTATATATATATGTATATATATGCACACACACACACACACACATATATGTATACTGCCGCGATGGTCCTGTGGTCAGATCACTGGATTCCTACTTTCGTGGTCCCAAGTTCAATTCCTCGGCGCGGCAGACGTAAAAATGCCTGCGCTCTGACTGTGGCTTGAGCCCGAGAAAACGACATATCGCCTTGAGATGTCGCCGCCGTGGCACAAGTGTTAGCGCGCCGAACCGCGGTTGATTAGGAAGGGCATCCAATCAGGTAAGGGTGACACTGCCATATAACCTCTAAATAGTGAATTGAGAGAGGCTAATGCCCTGCAGTAGAATGGATGGATGTTAAGAAAGATAAATAA